TTTGAACTCAGGAAGATGAGTCTTCCTGACTTCAGGCCTGGCACTCTATCCACTGCACCAACTAGCTGGGTTGTTTTGTTTGTTTGTTTGTTTGTTTGTTTTTAGGCAATTGGGGTTAAGTGACTTGCCCAGGGTCACACAGCTAGTGTCACGTGTTTGGTCTGAGGTCGGATTTGAACTCAGGTCTTCCCCTGACTTCAGGGCCGGTGCTCTATCCACTGCTCCACCTAGCTGCCCCCTAGCTGTTTTTCTGTACCAACTCTCCAAAATGTGCTTAAGAGTTTAGAAGAATATACTGAAAGTCTACTACAGAGCCACAACTTGGATTCATTTACCTTATTAATTGTAGCATTTAATGAAACAAAATACATGAAACATATTCAAATGAGGAATATATCTAAAACCACTTAAGCCTAATTCAAATTGCATACCAGATCTTCCATGGATCCTGGAGTATAGCAATTCTTTCTCTTGGTGCTTTCTGGTTAGAGATTTGGCATATATGCATACATACATATATACATATATCCATACACACACACATATATACACGTATACACACACATATATATTTAATATATGTGTGTATATGTATACACACACACACACACACAATACTGCTAGGCTCACTGAGACTATCTAATATTCATTTTCATATAGCCAATCTTAAAGGGGATTAAATTATCTAATTAAGCTGTTAATTAAGAAGATTCCTGCTGGGTAAACCATAGGCTACCAACAGCATTTTTAATCTGTTTTGCACTGAACAGACATGATTTTCTAAATCAAGAGAGCTCAAAGTTACTGCCCCTCCTGCTTAGTGGGCTGACACATGAATCTGAAGGACATGCAGGTGCCTTTAAGCCAATTTGATCCTTCACTTTTGAGCCTATTTTTTCCCCCAGTTTAATTACACCATTACACTATGAAATCTATTCAGTACCTCTTGGCAGTGGTAGAGTTGGTGATGTAGCAACAAAGACCCTCTGTTATTCCTGTATCCTTTCCCCACTTCTCCCCAGCCATATTTTCCTCCCTCCCAAAGAGGTAAGAAAAGGAAGGAAATATAGAGCCACCTCAAAATACAATATTTATTAAGTAACTATTATATGCCAGTCACTCTGCTAGGCACAAAGGAAAAAGTGCAGCAGTGTCTGCCCTCAAGGAGCTTACATTCTAGGCGGCAAGTGGCATGGAGGCAGCAAAATAGCTGCTGGACTTGCAGTAAGGAAGACCTGAGTTCAAATCCTCCCTCCAATATTTATTTGCTACGTGATCCTAGGTAGGTCATTTTACTTCTCACTCCTATTTTCTTCATCTGTAGTGACAGCGCCTATAAAATGTGATAATATACACCAAGTGCTTTGCAACCTGAAGCAGTACTTAAATGCTAGTCCTTCATCTCTTACTTTGTCCCTACCTCCCAGCCCCATCCCAGAAATGGTCTCCAAAAACTCAGCAGCTTCCAATGGCAGGGCCCAGCCACAGTCATTTCCAGGTGCCCCCTGGCATTTATCTAGTGCATCATAATGATTCCTCAGGTTTGGAGCTGAAAATGTTGCTTGTAGTTTCTTATACAGGATAAGATGCTCAGGCACTGCTGCCTAAATACCACAATTTGCTGCTTCCTGACCCAAATACAACGTGGCTCTGAGAAATGAACAGTATAAGCAGAATAATAAAAATCTACGTCATTAAAATTGGGTAAGCTAGGATCATAGTATCCTCAGAGGCCATATATCCCAACCTCCACGTGTATTTATGTGTATATATGTTCACATGCACGTGACAGGAAGAAAGAGCCACCCATTATGACCATGTGCAGCACACATAAAAGAATATGACTAGATTCACAATATTACATAGGTTCAGATATAACATTTTATGATAGGGATCAACTATATAAGAAAGTTCACTGAGACACAGATAAACTTGGAATTCAGAGAGATTCAAGCAAAAATAATGAAAGATGATAAGTATAGACCTAAGAAATGCAGCGTTTGCCAAATCAAAGCAGAGATATGTTGTGCAGGATAAGTTATTAAAGATTGGGGATAGTGTATAGACTTAACACAGTGAAATTCAAACTTTCTTTGCTCCAGTTTGCTGCCAGATTAATCTTCATAATCCATAGTTCTGGTCATGTTACTTCCCTGCTCAAAACCCTTCAAGATTTCTCATTGCCTGAAAGTTAAACCCAAACTTCTTGACTTTGAAGGTCCTTCACAAACTGGCTCTAATTTGTCTTTCCATCTTCATCTTGTATTATCCCCCTTAATGTGCTTTATGCTCCAGTAAAACTGGACTATTCCCCATACCCCAAATATTTTCCGTATGTTTTTATTTCCATGCTTTTACTCATGTCATTGCCTATAACTGGAATGTTCTCCTCTTCTCTGAGATAATCCTAACCTGGTAGGGTTGAGCTGAAAGCCCAGCTCAAACATTGGCTTCTCTAGGAAGCCTTCCCTAATACCTTATTTTATCACCCACTTGATATGCTTTCTTATCCTTTCTAATCCTTTTCTATTATAATTACTTGTGCATGAGGCAGGTCTCCTACTAGATTGTAAGTCCTTTTTGGTTAGGAATTGTGTCATTTTCATTTATGTCTTCCCCTCCACTGAGCACAGTGACTGACTCATCATAGACAGTAAATGTGTGCGGCATAACCCAATCACTTGTGCAAAGCTAGAACTATTAAGACTGCTCATTTCTTCTGAAGCTACCTTTTCCTGAATATATTCTATAATTGAATATAGGCTCCTTAAGGGCAGGGACTGTTTTCTTCTCATCTTGTATCTCTAACATCTAGCACTGAAACTGGTACACATCAGGCATTCAAAATATGTTTTTTAAATTTAACTGAATCTATACCAAAACTACAGATAATACTGCTTCCCTGTCTTCCCAATGAGAAAATCAATGATCATTTCTCTCTATCCACTTCTCTTTCCGGCCCTTAAAAAAAATAAGTTCATTCCAATTTCCAGAGCCTGAATTAGAAAGTCATGCTAGTGTTCAGTATCTTCTTTTCCCTTGAAATAGGATGTCCAATTTATTTCACCAGATATAAGGAAAGAATGCAAGAAACAGAACCAATTTTTATTGTTATTAAAATCACTGTCCACATTGTTAGGAGGAGGGAGAGAATACATGAAATGAATCTTTAAACAAAGATTCAGACAATAAAAAGCATACTCAGAAAAAGACCTTTTTTCAACCCAGTGGTGCACTGCCTCTGGAGTCAAGGATTATTTTTTGTGAGATAAGCATACAATATCCCTCAGTAATTTAATATGCAACTGAGTGTTTATGTAAAAGGTATTGACTAAGAAATGGATTAAGTGATATGTGTCCATTGGAGTAGTGATTGTGTAAAATTATTTTAAAGTGGCAGAGTCTAGGAGAGAGAACTCTAGATATCAGGGGTTAGAAAGTTGCCCAAGGGGTTTGCACCTGTTTTGCTCTGATGCCTGACAAGCCACTAAACCCTTTTATTACTCAGGCATTTGTGTCTCCAGTTTATAGATGGCTGTCCCTGTTTGACCAGTCCTACCTCCTGGCTATCATCCTGGGGTGTCCTGAGGCTAAGTGACATTATATTTATGAGCTGGATTTTAAGTTCCTCCTGAGGAAGGCACTAAATAAACTCCATAGTAGTTTATGAATGTCAGGCTTGTATTAACCACATCGAAGCCTATCTCATAAAAGGAAAAAGGGAAATTTCAATCCACTACCAGGTACCCAATGGAAAATGTATAGAATTGTAAGGTTGCTGACAAGCCATGGAATCAGAACCTCAACAAACTCCCACCCTACCAGCCCCAAAGACTTTCTGACCTTGGAAAGCAAACAAATTATTCAGCATACCTTCAGGTTCCTCACTTATAAAATAGGGATAATATAAAAATTGCTTCACACGGACACGTTAGAAAAGCACTTTATAAACCTAAAAACGTTAAGGAAAATAGGAGTTATTGTTAAACCTAGTCAGCATTTCTTGGGAATAGCACTTAGCACAAGAATTGGTGACATTTGTCATAGCAGCTCTACACAAAGATCAATTATCATTAAATGTCAGTTATCTCCTAAAAGGCAGCAAAGTGAAATGGAGAGATCATTGCTCTTATAGCCAAAAGGATGTGGATTCAAATCTCACCTCAGATACTTACTAGCTATGTGACCTTGGACAAGTCACAATTGACCTCTCAGGGCCTCAATTTCCTCATCCATAAAATAAGAAGGCTGGACTCAGTAGCCTCCAGGTATCTTTTAGCTCTAAATCTACCATCTATGGTGATCATCGTCACAGCTCTCATTTCATAGTAACATACGTAGCATTTTACCATATTCAAGGCACTTTTTGTTGGGGGGGGGATCTCTAATGGTTCAGCCCACTTGATGTACTAGTTCCCAAATCCCACTTCCTCATTAAGCTATATTCCTGAAGAAAACTCTACCCTTCACTCCAAATTGTACTAGGTTACATTTCCCTGTGTCTTAATTTCTATTGTGTTCAGAACTCTTGACAAACATATAAGCCATAGTAGCAGAATGGTAACACTTGAATATTTGAGTTAATGTGTATGCAGTAGAAGCACTGCAACATCATGGATAGAATTCTGGGTGTGGAGCCATAAACACCAACATTCAAATCCTGCCTCTGACACTCATGACTATGGGATGTTGAGCAAGTCACTTAATTTCTATGTGGTTTGGGCAACTCTGCAACTTCACTATCAAATCATAGGTGGTTATGTTATATGTTAATGGAGTGATGTCTCACACACTGAGTTCCCTGGAGGACAAAATCACAGTCTCTGTGCCTGACGCAGGTATGTGGGGAATCATATATAAGAAATGGACGGCATCATCTAAAGAGCACTGGCCTTGAAATCAGAAAACTCATGTTCAAGTCCCAGCTCTATCAACTAGCTACATGGCTTTGGGCAAATCATATAACTTCTCTGGTCCTCAGTTTCCTCACCTTCCTTGCCTAGTAGACAGAAATAATAATACTAACCCTGCCTCACAACATTGTTATGAGGAAAATACTCCACATAAACTATGAAGTATTATACAAACATGAGCTGTTATAAAGTCTTATGTTATTGGGGAAATTATCCCACTTAGAATTTGTTTTACATTAGCCAAAATAAATATCTTGCAATATAGTGTACCACAAAACAAAAATTAATATAGAAAAAGCAGTCACACATTTCAGAAACTGTGTGAGCCTCTGGCCTCTATCTTTCTAGATAAGTGATCATCAGTATCTTATAACAAGCAGATGAAATGATGTATCTTATTCTCACTGTTCTCATTCAAATACTTTCTCAAACCTGCAGGAGCACATTCATTTAGGGTTGAATCAAAGGCATCCTGGAGAAAATCACCATTAAGATGTGCTCTCCATGCATTCCTAAACTAGTATTAAATTCCGAATTCACCGTCAAAGCAAAGAGTAATTCAAGTACATAAACAGAAGCAGATGAGGAAAATGAATTCATCAGCACCATGAGTCCAACCCAGTTTCATAATGAAGAATAAAATAAACTAGTGTCACACTGGAATCTATGACTGATAAAATAGAAAGGTAGACCTCCTTCAGCAGGACATCTATTTGCAAAATCAAGTGGGAAAATGCAGCAATCCTTGCCCAGTTTGATGTCAAGGTTTTTCTTCTGACAGTAATCCTTCCCCAAATCCAGCCCCATGACTGCCCAGTTCCCAAAAAAACAAAGTACATAATAATTGGTAGTACATATCAATGTACCATGGATGTCTCAACCAAAGATTAATATTGAAATGTATTCAGTTTATCATCTTCACAACAATTAACAATGCCTCAGATGAATCAAACAAAACTACTCCCAGTGTTTACTCTCAAGATTTGATTGTTCTTTTGAGATCTTAATGTCTCTTTTGTCATTTCAACCCTATTCTCCCTCATCCCACATACAATGAACTAAGGTAGAAAATGGATACTAAGAAGAACATGACAAGTGAGTTAACTCCTTTAAGATAGCTAAGATTTTATCCTTGACATGCCCAGGCTAAAGGAAGATGATTCAGCTAACAGAGAATCTGAATAAAGCTAAAATCCCAACTTAAATATGATGAGATTTCAAAATCATGTTTCTTTTTTACTCTAAGCTCCTCTGCAAAGAAACTGATTTTTACAAGAAACTTTGAAATAAATTGATATATCCAAAACACATAGGAATCAAGGAATCATCCTTTTATGTTTAGTGTCTTTGTTTTTTAATGAGGAAGAGAAAATGAATGAGATTATAATTACAAAAATGTAAGGGGCTTTGGCTTTCCCTACAATCAGTGAGGGCCTCATGATGCTGAGCTGGAAATCAATAAAGACTAAATCCCTAAATGAGAACTTGGAAACATTTTCTTGACATGTTCTGTTTTCAGAAAGTAATCCTAGAATTGGAGTAAAAAACATCTAAGAATAACTTGATGGACAAGAACTGGGCAGAACAAGGCTTTTGGAACCAGGACTTTTCTTATCACAGAAACGCAGCCTTCAGGTCATAGGGTGAGGCACTAGACAATCATTTGGAAACCTGGTCTCCTTTGGATTTTCCTACTGCCTCCATGTCTCTGGGTTAACTTTGCCTTCTGTGTCACAGTATACATTCTGACTCAACTTCTGTGATAAATTCCAAGTGTTTTCCTTTTTCTTTTTTTTAAACCAAGGAGCAGGGCCTTTCTATTTAGCTACTATTGCTTCTAACATGGTAGTCTATCTCATGAGTTGTTATTCCATCCTGAGAATATCCAAAGTTGAAGGTCAGAGTTTGGTTTGAAAATCAAAATCCCAGAAGTCTCTCCTACATTGTAAGCAATTATTTAGGAAATGCTGCGTAATGATGACTATATACCATCAAACGCTGTATCCTACAGCATAGCAAGGCCTCCTGAGCCACCAGGAAGGTATCTTCATCCTGGGGACTTGCAGGCTAGAGAAACTGAAGTTTTTATAGGCACATATGGCTTCACCCTCCTGCAAAGCACTAGATTAAAATGGTACTGTATCACTTAGCTTGTGCTAACAACAAATGAAGAAGTAGAATGGGTAATGGCAGTAATCTATCATAGCACTACAACCACAGCAGGGTTTGGGGGTGGTTGTATTTTTTTTTTTCCTTAAGACATTTACTCTTCTCTTTCTTTTTAAATTTCATTTTGAACAGTCCTAAAGTCCTGATCAGAGGGTGATTAGATTCACAATGCACTGAAATTATGAAGATGCAATCAAAATACAGCCCATCTCTGTAGATAAACAAGTCAGAAGCAGTGGTAGGGTAGAGTTCAGTCTTGCAGCTTTTCTCACAGTAGAACCCTGTCAGGATGGGATGGGGAAAAGGACCATCTACCAAAGCCGGCAGGACTCTGTACCTCTGTTCATTGTTGAATTGACTGGACAGTTAAAAGCTTTCTGAAATTCCTCGAAGTTACTCACTGCACCATTAACTCTGAAAAAAAATGACAAAAACATTTATGACTTACTTCATAAGTATCATTATTTCCTAAATAGAATCCCTGATGATAGCACAGGACAGAAACACTGGCTCTAGAGGCAGAGGCCTCAGGTTCAAATCCTGCCTCTGACTCTTACTATCAATGTGGAGTTTGGGCAAGTGACTTGATCAGCATAGGCCTCGGTTTCCTTATCTATAAAATGAGGGCGTTGGGCTAGAAGATCCTTTCCATTGGAGTGTCTATTATAACTAAAGTTATCAAGAGCACTGGTACCTAATCTGAGAGCTGGGAGGAATTTTAGAGATCATCTAGTCCAACTTATTCAAATTAGAGGAAAGAAAAGTGAGGTCAAATTAGGTTATATAACTTATCTTTGTTATTGTTGTTGTTGTTCTGTCATTTCAGTCTTGTCTGACTCTTCATGCCCCCATTTTGGGGTTTTTCTTGGCAGAGATATTGGAGTGGTTTGCCATTTCCTTCTTCAGCTCATTTTACTGATGGGGAAACTGAGGCAAATAGGATTAAGTGACTTGCCCAGGGTCACACAGCTAATAAGAGGCAAGATTTGAGCTCAGGAAGATGAGTCTTCCTGACTTCAGGCCCAGCACTCTAGCCACTCCACTACCTACACGTCCTTGTAATTTATCTAAGGTCATACAATTAGTTAATGGCATAGTCAGGAATAGAAGCCAAACCTAATAGACCATAAGCTCCAAAGAGCAGGAGCCATGTCTTATCTAAATTTTGTCTCTCTTGCAGCATTTAGTAGAGTGCTCTATACAGAGCAAGTCATTAACTGCATTGCTGAATGAAATCTTCTTAATGCCATTCCAGTGTTCTTTCCACCATGCCATGCATATACTAAATCTTAAATTATGGAATAACATGTACAATTTTAAAATAACCTACACCTGGCATTTTTAACTTTATAACTGTTTCTCATAATATGTCCCCTTAATTGGCCTTTTGTTTGAGGGTTCATTATATTCTATACACAGACGCTTTGTATTATTGTCTTTTATACTCAAGTATATAAGAGAAGAGCAAAAAAAAGTGTCGTGGTAGGTCTGAAGGAGATGACTCTTACTGACTAATGGTGTAGGGGCATCAGGGAAGGTTTTGTGCAGCACGTGGCCTTTGAATTGGGTTTTTCACCACCACAGAAGGAAATTTTAGGCATAGGAAATATTGATGGACATATCCATCAATACTTCTCAACCAGTTCCTGAGTTGTATAAGCTCATGCTTTTTTTTTAACCAGACTTCTAATTAAGACTAGTTAGCACTCCAAAGATTATTCTTACCTACGATTTTACATTTTTCTTTATTCTGATGATCTTACTTCTCTGATGAGCTCCAGACTTCAATTTCCAGGGAACTTCCTACTTATCTATTTAATCAAAGGTCCCTTTTTAAAGGAGATATTTCTACTTCATAGTTTACCCAAATTCTAGGTAGATCAATGGAAATGCTTTGACACTGGTACATCTGTGATTTCATCCACCAGGCTACTTTCTTCAAAGCTCATCCACACCTATTCTCCCTTTCTGACTCTTTTCAAAGTCTTTCCAAAAGCCCTCAAAAGGAGTCTGACAAACATGCTGGGAGCTCTAGACATCTTAACATTGCCTGGACACCAATGGAGCATATAACTCCAATGGCTAGCACAGTTCCAGGAACATAACAGGTACTTAATAAGTGCTTGACTGATTGATTGATTGATTAATATGGGGTATCAGTTGGCTACTTTTTTCTCTTATTATTATAGATACTCCAATATTCCAGTTTGACCACTTCAGTGTGGATGTTATCGCCAATGATGCAGATTACAATTTACACATGCCTGCCATCCTGTGTGACTCTTAAAAATTTGCCACAGCATGATCTATCCAGTGTCCTGAAGAGCATGTATTTTCTTTACAATACATGGATGCCAATGATATTTTTGCAGTTATGACTAAAAAAACTAGAAATAAATTGTCCATCACCCCTATTTTATTTACTACCCAACTGTACTTTCAAGGAGTTGACCAGAGATCCTGACAACTAGATAATTGATCATTTTTTCTATAAGAATTATTACCTTCAGATATTCAAATAAATGTAACAGCATGTTTCTTAAATAAAATAGCCTTACTACAGGTTTTTTTCATGGTATCACACTATAACTGAAAATTCATAAACAAGCATTTTTGATTATATGAGATTTTCCATCATAGGCAACCAGTTGGTAGTATGTACAGCAGTAGGCTCTAAAACCATTTTGCTGAGCAATTAATCAAGTGCGCTTTTTTTCATCTTCATCCTTTATCAGTAGGAGCACACTTTAGTCCATTACATATAGTCAGCCTTTCGGGGTAGTTTAGCACAGTGGGAGAGAATTTCCAACACAATGATTAGATTTTTATGTTGGTTGTGAATTTACAGTCAACTTCTGAAAAGTTTGTTATGGTTCGTTTACTGGCAAGAATAAATAAAACTCCTAAAGTGTAGAGGAAATTTTGGAACACTATCCCTCCAAAATATTAAGGATAAGATAGCTAGATTCAACATAGAGAAAGCAAATATTAAACAAATTTTAATTATCCAAATGAAACTACTTTCTGGCCACAAAACATTCTTGAAATCTTTCACCTTCATGCCTTCGTTCGTGTTGTTTTCTATGTTTAGATGCTTAGAATGTACTTCTTTAACTGTTGAATTCTTATCTACCTCAAAAAAAAAAAAGGCTAACTCAAACCCTGTGTGCTGCATGAAGTCTTTCCTGATGCTTTTACACCATAATTCGGTAACAACCTTCTCCCTCAGACCTAGCGAAACACTTTTTTTTTTTACTACTCTAATGCACTTAACTATAATACACAATAGTACATGGTGTCTATATGTCTGTCAAAGCTCTCTACTTCACTAGGATGTAAGCTCAACAAGGAAAAGAATTTTATCACATCTAAACTGTGTATCCCCTCCTAGGATCAAGCATATTTTGAGTAGGATTATTATGTCAAGTAAAGTATCCTACTAAGTGATTCATCAATCAGTCACTTAATAAGAATTTATTAAGTGCATATGATGTGCCAAACCATGTGATGGGGGTGGAGATTCAAACAACAAAGAATAAAACAAGCCCTATTTAAAAGAACCTTACATTCAAGAACTTTGTGAGGATCAGTTATTCTGTAAGTCACTTAAGCAAAAATCATGGCACACATTACCTAAACTGTGGAGGGCTATGAGCACCAATCTGAATTTGTTCTCTTGCAGCTTCTGGTCGATAAGAGTTGCACCTCACCTGACACAGAGAATTATTACATGGATTAAATTTCTCTACTGGTTACATATTTTTACAGTGCTAAAATTACAATGAAATCTCATAATGCAGAATAATTATGTGGCCAATGACCGACAATTGTTTAAAATGTACAACAGTTCCTTTGAGAACAGTAGGATCCTCAGAATCGAAAGTTTTGTCAGGCAGAACATTTCTACAATTTGAGTCAATTATGAAGTATGAGACCTGAGGTCAAGTCTTTCAAATTAGAGAAAAATATATGCTAATGTAATTTTTATTCACTTCATTGAAACATAAGTTCGTACAAAATCTGTCACCAACTTTTGAACATGGTCGTTGAATTCAACATTGAAATATCTTCAGGTATTAGATGAGATCATGGAAAATGGTCTGATTTCTGGACCTGATTCATAGTCATTCTCTCTCTTCCTTATCCTGCCAAAAGCTTTAGAGACTCTAATATTTATATTGATAATACTTCTAATACGCTGTCCTCACAGTTTCTTCAATTCCTCAATTCCTTTAACTTCCAACCCCCCACTTGCACAAGTCTTCCACCTGTTGCTCAAAATCGTACCATCTCCAAAGTTTAAACTTTGAAATTCACTCTAAAGTCACCTGACCTTCAATTTCCGCCTCCCTTGTCTTTCCCATATGTTATATGCATTCATCATCAGCCTCAGTCCTTTAATTCCTACTGATTTCCCCTACTCTGACCTCCCTTTCTCCTCCATCCAGTCTTAACCCTCAACCATCTCAATAATACCTGTCCTTCATCCTTGAATCTTCTTCCCCTTTGACCTTCCGTTCATTATCTCTCTGCTAATTCTTAACATTGGGTACCTTTTCCAAACCTCTCCTCTATTCCTACTCTCAAGCTGCCAAACAGAAAAATTCATGAAATCATGCTAATTGTGGTGGGGAATTTCTCAGTTTAGATTTCCTAAGAATCCAAGGAGAATATCACCCAGCAGCAGGTCTACAGTACTAGAGATCAAATAAAGTAAGAAGCCAAACTGAAAGAAAGAGAAATTTATTTGCACACAAATGAAGATAACTTGCTGTAGCAGCTTCTTTTTCCCAGGGTACATATTTGGTCAGCATACATTTTTCAGATGTACTTAAAATACACCACCAGTCAGCAACATTCTATGGCATTTGAATGGACCAATGGAATGCAGTCTGTCCCTAAGAAAGCTGATCTGGAAACTCTCTAAGTGAATGTTGGGTGCAACATTTGTGTAGCCCAGCAAAGCTAAAGAGTACCATGTGTAATAAGATTTTATGTATTCAGCCTAAGCAAGATGGAGTTAATTGAGTCACATTTTGTTATTCAGTCTACAGCAGAAGAGGCAAATCTATCAGATTTTGTTGTTTGCTGTACAGAAAAAAAGGGGGGAGGGCTAGTTTTCAATACTGGTAGTTCAAACAAATAGTACATTATGATAACAAGGTTGTTTTCCTCCATTTTGGTTCCACTACAAATTCATGATATCTAATGTCAACTGGGCCCTGACTGCTATGTAGTAATCCTTTTCTTCATCTATACTTTCAATCACATTCTTCACAATGACTGTTCCAAATCTTTTCTCTAGTCTCCGACTCTACCCCTCATTCCTCACTTTGAACAGATAATCTTACTTCTTACTTTACTGAGAAGTCAGAAGGCAACCACTTTGAACTTCTTCAATTCCCTTTATACACTTTTCTAAATTTTTCAATGTCATTACCCATCCTCTCTTCCCTTCTCCCAGTCATAGAGAAAGAGGTGGCCCTCCACCTTAACAAAGCTAATCCTTCTACCTGTACCCAAGGTCACATCCTTACTACCTCCCTCAGGAACTGAATCTATTAATCATCTCTTCTTATCCTTATTCTCTAACTCTAAAAAAGGAATTGTTATTTTCATGTATGTTTTTCCTTCCAATCAGAATATAAGCTCCCTAGAGCAGATTGTGTCTTCCTTTTATCCTTCTATCCCCATAACTAGCTAACATAGTGCTTTGTCTACCTCCTCTCAAGACCATAATCGACATAGCCCAGAAGCTGAACCCAAGAGCCCTGGGAAGGTTGTGCAGTTATTTTTCAGTCATGTCCAACTTTTATGACTCCATTTTTTCTTAGCAGAGATACTGAAGTGGTTTGCCATTTCCTTCTCCAATTCATTTTACAGATGAGGAACTGAGGCATACATGTTAAGTGACTTGCCCAGGGTCACACAATGAGTAAATGTCTGAGGCTGGATTTGTACTCTGGAAGATGAGTCTTCTTGACTTTAGCACTCTATCCAATGTGACACTTAGCTACCCTAGGGAGAACAGCCCCAAAAATACCAGTTCTGCTTCCAGTGTGGCCCCCATAGTCATCATTGAGACATTGAGTTATCATAATCTTAGTGAAAGAGCTCACTTTTTTTAAAACTACTTCCAAAACCTACTACTCACTAACTGCTACCAATCAGTAATAAGCTCAGTAAGTAAGAGTCTCAAGAATGCAGTGCCCCCCAAACCACTGAGCTTGCCACCAGCCTAACTCCTGTAGCCATCACTGAGTAATGCCTATGGATGTGCAACCTGGCAGCTACTTCTGCAGGTGCTGAAGTCACTGCTTGAAGACACAAAAGTAATCAGCAGTCCTTGGCAGTGTCAAGTGGTTCAAAATCATAAAGAGATGTGACTTTTGCTTTGGAAATATTAAAAAAGATGCATTTGCTTTGTCATTACACCCTATGGACTATGGGACCTTTCCATCTGACTTGCAGCTGAAACTTTCTATATATGTTATCTTTCCATTTAGAATGTGAGCTGCTTGAGAAAAGGGATTGTATTTTTCTATTTGCTTCCCAGTGCTTTGCACATAAGTACTTAATAAACACTTTCTTGCCCTTTCATTCACTAATTCATTCATTCATTCATTCATTCATCCCTTTCTCCATAGTAGGGTTGGTCAAATATTTGTCTAGGCTCTAAATCCCAGCCTTACCACTTACTACCTGTGACATCTTGGGCAATTTCTTTAGTTTCAGCTCCCTCATCTGGAAAATGAAGACCTAAGGGTAATGTTCTTGTTTCCATTCAAGTATTAAGATATTGATCAGAGAAGTAGCCTTTTCAATCCTGGTAAAGAGCAGTCAAGGAAGGAATTGAATAGTTTTAGTAGAAAATTAAGTGACTTGTTCTAGAATGTCAACCCAAAACTCTATTTTAACATATTATCTCCTTCATTTGTTCAAGATCCACATAAATGTTAGCAAAAATTGTCTCTGAGTAGAGAGCTATCTGATGGCATAGGTGGGGGAACTATGGTCAGTTTCGATAGTTCTCTGTCTAAACTATAAATGCTTATATATAGAATAGTATTAAATTAATAAGAATTATTTCCAACAGACAAATTTAAAATATCAAGTACAGCATTAATATTTTACTTCTACAGTATGAGTTTTGGAAACAGAAAAAAGTAGAAATGAGACATTACCATTAGTGAACTAAAAGATGGTAGAAAAAGCACTGTTACCAGTTCTACCATGTGAATCATAAGAGGGAACACTGCTAAATCTTAGCTGGGACCATTCCTTGAAGCTTCCCAAGCACAAAGGTACAGTGTTTTAGACATGGTAGGTGACTAATAAACAGCTGCTGAATTGATGCAACGGATGAATCTCAAATAATACTACAAATTAACAAGCACTTACTATCTAGCTGGGGAAAGAAAAAGCATATATGCAAAGAAATTGAAGAACAAATACAGTGCCTCACACATAGTAAGCATTTAAGAATTTAACTGAACTGAAACTGTGGAATAATTTTAAGAACACTGAGTCCTTCATAGGTAAACCAATAAGACTTTAAAAAAGTACTAAGCTGTACAGGTAAAAAAATGTAAGCAATAAGCTTAGTTAGGATTCTCTTATTCGTCTTAGAAGACAGACTACCAATATAACACCTCTGATATTCATTTTCAGTATTCTAATCATATAAATTAATTTCTTAATCCATTTCACTGTTTACAATTCCAAATACGTGAATTTTTTAAAAATTACATCAGGAAGAATCATTGAAGTTCTTGTTCACAGGAGTAGGCAAGCAGACAGTGTAACTCTGAATTGGATTTTTAAAGTTCCCCTTTATAATTCAATTGCTTATTTTTTTCAGAAGCTAGCTAAAGCAAAATTGTTTTTACTGTCCTCTTTTCATTGCAATCTTTTATATCATTTGGGAAATTTCCAAAAGGATATGTTGTGTCTTTTACCAATTTTTTTTTCTACTTTCCTGGAAGAAAAAAAAATCCTGTCCAATACATTTATAAAAACAACTTCAATCCAATGTGCTAGGAGATTTTCAAAGTAACCTTTCAAATTGAAATTGATTTACAACTGGCCCATCCTGTCAGTGAGGTTTTCCCTAAGGCAAACTGTTCATTAGTAATGCTCTGGGTCATATAAGATCATTCTTCTTTAGTCTAAACATCTTATTTTTTTAAATAAAAACTAGGTTGTGGGGGCAGATTGAGAAGACATTTTAAATGTAGACAGTAGACGTGTTATGAATGATTATAGACACATTATAAATTAATTTATTGCCTCTATCAAGAGAAATTAAGAATCTGGCTATAAATTATAGGAACTTCCAACCCTTCCCACTTTCAACAAATAACTACTATCCTCCAGAAGGTTCAAAATAATTTTGCTTTTTTTCATTTTGGCCTATTTCTGATTCAAAACTTACATAGTCAGCAAGAGTCAGTCTGCAAGTGTTTATTAAGCATTTACTATGTCAGGCACCATGCTAAGTACTGGAGGATATAAAGGAAGTCCAGTACAATCCCTTCCTTCAAGGAGCTCACTTTCTGAGGGGAAGAGAATAACTAAATAAGGTAATTATAAGATATATCAGAGTACATGGAAAGTAATCTTACAAGAGAAGGCACTAACAGTTAGAAGACCAGAAACAACCTCCTGTAGAAAATGGTATTTAGCCTGAGGGCTAAGCATCAGACCCCTATGAGAAAGCCAGGGCTAAGGGGCAAGAGGATGAAGAGAAGGCCTGCAAAAGAGACAAAGAAAGAATAGTCAGAAAGATATAAAGAGAATTATATTTTACAGAGTCATGGAAATGAAAAAGGAGATACCTAGAGTGCTGAATAAATGGAATAGTCAAGGAAGTGGAAGACTGAGGAAATGTCTTTTTTCATATACCTGCTTCATAAAGTACTAATCATGACAGGTTTTGCTTCTGATACATATTGCTATCTATAATCTCATGGTTCCTTAATCAAAGAAACCGTAGCATTTTTAGCCTGGAGAGGAGAAGAATCAAGGCTACATGGTGGCAGTATTCTACATTTGAAAATTTGTCATATGGAAGACTAATTGGGTTTAATCTTCTTGTCTCCAGAAAGCAGAAATATAAGCAATAGTTAAATGCTTATGGGAGAGAGCTTGAGGTGCAATGGAAGTTAAATAAGTTAAATAAGACTTCCTTTTCAGTAATGGGTCCTCCCTTCTTGGAGGTCATGATGTATCAGTAGAGGAGTATTTTTATATAAGTATAGATACAAATAGACAGTCTGGGCCCCTTCTGGCTTGAAACTTCTGTAATTCTATGATTATGGACACAGGTAAAACCCTGGAAAAATGATTCATGAAGAAGCCTGGAGATTAGCTAGTATGAGGCCTATCCACACCACAGCCTCCACCTTCTTATAGACTGAACCATCCAGAAGCTGCTTCATGGTCTCCCCAATACACATACACACACACACACACACACACATATTGAAGAAATTTCATTCCTATTAACACATAAAAGTCATTGACCCCTTCAAGTATCAGGACAAACTGATTTACAGGGCAAGAATCAGAAAGAAACCATGACAGAACTATACTTCTGCAGATGTTCAGTTACACTAAGAGCTGGGGTGTTTTTTGTCAGGACTAAAGCAACACTGAGGAAACTTTCCCATAAAGTTAGGAGAGGGCCTAGTGAAATATAAGGAGCATTGTGGAAATAAATAGGTAGATAGATAGATAAAAATTACATGTTTTTTAAAAAAAAAAACCTTTTGATTTTGGAGGTGGATCCAAGATGGCAGAGTAAAAGCAGTGACTTGCTTGAGCTCTCCCCAAACCCCTCCAAATACCTGTAAAAACTGGCTCTAAAAATTCTAGAGCAGCAGAACACACAAAAAGACAGAGTGAAACAAATTTCCAGCCCAAGACAACCTGGATGGTTGATTGGAAAGGTCTGTTGTGCCAGGCTGGGAGAGGAATCCTGTTCAGCATGGGTGTGCGGGCAAAGACCAGCCCTCAGTAAACCTGGAGCAGCCCTCAGAGGACTGAATCACAGGCAGCTGTGGAGGTTTCTCGACTTCTCAACCCACAAATGCCAAAGACAACTTAGAAGGTCAGTAGGTAAAGTCTGTGACCAAGGTGAGAGAAAGCTCAGTCTCAGCCCCAGTACTGGTGCAGCCCAGGGCAGTGGCTGCTTTCAGAGCTCTTGGCCCACAGACTGAGGGGAAATTGAGTGGCTGATCAGACAGAGATTGCAGGGATCTCTTTGCTGGTGCTGAGGCAGGATTCTCTTGCTTTGCCCATGCTTGGATCTGAGTCACAGTTCTGGGTGGTGGTCCTGGGGAGAGAAGGAGCACTGGTGTGGTGGAGCTTGTAGTGGCAGTACAGAGAGAATCCTCCTCACAGTTCCACAGCAGAAAAGAGTGCTTGTGGTCACCAGAGCACAGGCCAGGAAAGGAGTAAACACCTCGCCCTTGATCATACCACCTTGGAAGAACTGAAATTTGCAGGTCTCTAGAAGTATCTCTGAAAACAGCTGCACAAAACCCCTGAAGCTTGGGTCAGTACATTCTCCACAGTGGAAGCAGACCCCTACCTTAACAAAGAGTTTATAACTCAAGTAATTGTCTAGGATCATGAGCAAACTGCGCAAAAAAAGTCAGACCACAGAATCTTTCTTTGGTGACAAAGAAAATCTAAACATACAACCAGAAGAAAACAACAAAGTCAAATCTCCTACATCCAAAGCTTCCAAGAAAAATATGATTGGTCCCAGGCCATGGAGGAGCTCAAAAAGTATTTTGAGAAGCAAGTAAGAGAAGTAGAGGAAAAACTGGGAAGAGAAAGGAGAGTGATGCAAGAAAATCATGAAAAACAAGTCAAGAGCTTGCTAAAGGAGACTCCAAAAAAAATACTGAAGAAAATAATACCTTAAAAAATAGCCTAAGTCAGGAGGACCTGAGTTCAAATCTGCTCTCAGACCAGACACTTGACACTTACTAGCCATGTGACCCTGAGCAAGTCACTTAACCCCAATTGCCTCACAAAAAAAAAAAGGAAGAAAATAAAAAATGCATAATCTGTATTGAGTCACTTGCCTTCTCAATGAGGGTGGGTAGGGAAGGAGAAAGGGAGAAAATTTAGAACCCAAAGTTTTAAAAACAAATGTTAAAAATTGTTTTCACATGCAACTGGGAAATAAGATATACAGGCAATAGAGTACAGAAATCTATCCTGCTCTACAGGAAGATAGAAGGGGAAGGTGATAAGAGAAGGGGGAGGGATAGAAAGGAGGGTAGATTAGGGGAAGGGGTATTCGAAATGCAAGACATCTTGGAGTGGGGGGAGGGATGAGATGAGATGGTGAAAAAATTTGAAACTCAAAATCTTGTGGAAGCGAACGTTGAAAACTAAAAATAAATAAATAAATGAAATTGGGGGGAAATAGAAGAGGGAAAAAAAGGACATATAAGTATCAAAGCCTGCAGAACTTACTGAACTCTTTCCTGAAAGATATCCTATGCAAATATCAAAAATGAATAGCAGGAAGAATAAAGCTATTGTAAACAAGTACATACAGCACCTGGCACTATGGTTGTTCAGTTATTTCAGTCCTGCCTGACTCTTTGTGACCCTATTTGATGTTTTCTTGGCAAAGATACTGGAGTGGGTTGCCATTTCCTTCTCCAGCTCATTTTACAGATTAGGAAACTGAGCAAAAGGGTTAATTAAGTGACTTGCCCAGGGTCACTGAGCTACTTAGTATCTGAGGTCAGATTTGAATTCAGGAAGATGAGTCTTCCTGACTCCAGGTTTTGCATTCTATACACTGTACCACCTAGGTGCTCCACTGGTTTCCCCAGTATTGGGGTTCAGAACCATGGACAGAGCTTGGTGATATCAACAGCCATGCAATCCAGAGCAGTTTGTTATGCTGCAAAAGCAGTTAAGAAAATCAAACCCTGAAACTCTATTTTGTACGTTGTGATGAGCTAGTGGAAACTTGAAATTTATCTCATTTAATTTTTTTTAGAATTTTAGTTAAGAGAACAAGCCTAAGCCACGCATTCCATATTTAAAACCTTCTTTGAAATGCTACTCACATGAGCATAACTCAGAAAGAAGAGCTGATTGTTGGTAAATTTAACGCCTGGTAGGAGATCTTCTTCCACTCCTTGCCTCTTATCATTTATCCATTTCCTATAGGCCTAGAGAGAAAAAATAGAGTGATGTTTGTTATTTTTACGAGTAACCTCAGGATCATAAAGCCATAGATCTAAAGTTGAAAGAGACTTTAGACATAATCTAGTCTTAGGTGACTTGTCCAAGGTTACATAGGTAATAGTAGAAGATTTGGGAATTCAGACTCAGGCTGTGACTAAAAATTCAGCACTATTTCCACTGTAGTATTTCCTCTCAATAATAGGTATGTCCTGATTAGAAGAAATCTGCTTGCAAAATTCACCATCTTGCAAATAATATAATAACATATGATTTAATGATAAATAGTATAATATATCATGAGGCATTCAATGGAGGAGGCCCACGGAAATGTTAGTCTATGCTGTAGCTCACCAAGGAATCTACTAGGATTACTAGCTTAAAAAAAGGATACAAACCAATAGAATGAACATACTATAAAGGGCTAAACAACTATAAATAAAAGTTCTTATTTAAGCAATTAGAGAAGTTTGGCAGTGGATATAGAAACTGACCTTGGAGTCAGGAAAACCTGGATTCAAGTCTTATCTCTGACATATTAGCTATATGACCTTGAACAAGTCATCTAACCATAGTTGCTTTTCATGAGAAGAGGGGATTTCCAAATTGTGCAGAAGTCCTCTGAACAGATGAAATCATAGGTCTGGACCAAAAATTAAATAACTGAATAATTAGCTTTGTTTCTACCAGGGAACAAAAAGTTAAACACTAATGGACCATCATAACTTTTAGCCTACGAGCATGGGAATTTTAAATGAAAATATTTATAGCTAGACAAAGAAATACATTGCCTCATGCATATTTATCCCCAGGTAGAAGTATTTAATGCACTATTAGCAAATAACACTATTAGTGAAACAGGTTGGAATAATGGATACAGAGCTAAACTTGAACCCAGGAAGACCTGAGTTTAAATCCCATTCTGACACATATATGCTGTGTGACCTGGTCAAGTCGCTTAACTTCTTAGTGCTCTAGGTGATGTTCTAAGACTTCAAGTAGTAGAGAAGATGCCTATCTGAATTGGTAGAAGGCATTTCTCACCTGGGAGTCCCCCAAAACAATTAAATTTTAGTTCCAGACCCTATGCCTATATCCTCTGATACTATTTACTTTTATTTGATTTCATTGGTGTGGTTACTCCCTTTACTCCCATACAGATCACCACCCCCTAATATTTTAGTAGAAATTCTTTTGTGTGTTACTATGAAGGAAAAAATGTTTTACTATAGGAGAGGCAACTTTCTGGTGATGAAAATCTCTAAAAGTAGCTAGACTCTGACAATTAGCGCTGACAAAAGCCATATAGATTGTCTTTAGCCCTCTACCTGAAGTCCTTCCAGCTTGGAAGGATGTGACAGAGATTGTAACCTGTTAGCACAAGAAAATAGAAGCCCTTGAGAATCCAAGGTCACCTCCATGGTACAGTGTGACATTGTGGCAGACTTTCATGGAGGAACAATATTTATACTTTTAATGTTATCATGAATGTGCTACCTAGAAATTCTAACTTATTCACTAAATATATAGCATTTTTAATTGTGATTTTGTACCAGAAGCCAAGACTATATAGAAAGATATATATAGAGAGAGAGATATAGATACAGATGTAGATATGCACATACATGTGCATGAATATATATATATATATATATATATATATATCCATTTTTATAATGGAAGTCAGTGAGAAAATACAATATAATAAATTTTCTTTATGGCAACTATCTTCAGAATATATATAAAGTTAGGCACACCTGTATAAATTTCATATACTACTTTTTAAAACATCACGGAAAACACAGTAATACATACCCTAAAAGCTTCTCGCAAACCTCCATTATCTGCAATATTTTCTCCCAATGTCCTCTTCCCTTTCACCTAAAAAACAGGAAGGGGAAAAAAAAGTGTCCCCTTAGACAGCTTCACAGTCAACTATCATTCAAGCTAAGACACAATATATTAAAGCAAACACCACGGTAGGCATGTTTTAAAGGGAAAATTATGCCTAATAAATCAAAGTAAGTCATCATATATCTTGTGATTGCAAACAAAGCCTTGAAAGGTACTCTTCAGTGTAATAACTTATGTCTTCTTATGCTACTGCCTTGTTCTCCCCCCCCACCTCAATCTCTCCTTCATGCCAATTTTGTAGGATAAAATAGGCTAAAATAAAATATACAAAATATCAAGTGGCTCAGACTTTAGGGAAAAGAGAATATCAATGAAACTGATTATTCTCTAATTATAGCTGATCATCCAAATAGTATTCTGAATGTGGGCATGCACTGTTCTCTACAAATTAACAAAGCATACAGAGATGACAGCCTGCAGAGGTTACCAACCTTTAACCTCCATTAATTTTTCTTCCAGAATTTAAAGGAGGAAGCAGTTTGGCAATGTGGAAAGAACTCAGGAGGCCAGAAAGCCTTGAAAGACTTGAAGTCCCAGATCTACTACTTATTAGCTGGGTAAATTGGGTGAAATGATATCACCTCTCTGGGTTTCAGTTTCCTCACATGTAAAATGAGGGAATTAACTAGAACCCTTCCAACATAGCTCCCACTGATATGGTGTTTTAAGGTCTTTGCATCTATTACCTCATTTAATCCTGACAATAATCCTTCAAGGTAAGTGTTATTATTCTGCTCATTTTACAGATGAAGAAACTGAGGCTCAGAGAAGTTAGCTGACTTGTCCATGGTCATGATGATAAGTAATAACATAGTCATAAAATCTAAGGCAGAATTTGAAGCCAAATCAACCTGACTCCACTACCCACCAGCATGGATAGTTCTACCCACTACTCAACAGTACCTCTTAGATATCTATTTCATTAGTTCTGTTGCCCTGAAGCCAACTCAATCTGTCTTCTTAAATTGCCAAATCTTCAAGAAACACTGGGCCCAGAGTGTACAGGAGGCCCTGAATGTGTCAAGAATGAATATCCCTCCCTGAGCTGACATAATTTGTTGCTTGCACCCCAAGCTGTACTCCATGTGTGACCTTGGAAGTCAAGACAGGTGCCAGTCAGTCTGCGTTAGGCTGAGAAACTGCTTGTGCAGCTGGGACCCCTGTAGAGAAGCAAACCCTCCCATCTTCATGGTCTAGGAGTTCCCAAGGGAAAAGAATACTGCTTTTGCCATCACCTTGCTCCTCTCTTTTGAGAGAGGTATTCTCCTTTTCCCACTTTTACAGTACCTTTCCCCTCCCATGCCACTCCCCTTTAGGAGGAGATTTCTGTTTTCTCCTCCTTCCTTTGTTGTACTATCATAAATATGTAAACTTCTGTATGGATCATGAACTCTTTGCTCTGCCTTAGGATTCCACACGTTTGTTCACTTCTGTTGTAATAAACCTAGTTTTCATTTGAGTCTCGTGAAGTTGTGATTGCCTATTGACAATTCTCAGATAGACAATTCAATAAATTCAATTCAATAAATGTTTATTAAGTGTGCACTATGTGCCAGGCACTGTGCTAATTGCTGGTAAAACAGTAAACAATGCTAACCAGAACTTTCCAACATGTGTGGAAATCAATTACATGTGCACCTAGCTCTCTTTTAATACCAGTAAGATTTTGTTGCCAGTTATAATCATAGACAGTTGTTCACCAGAACATTAAATTAGCCTGGATCAAAATATTTTGAATTTTTTTGCAAGTCCAAGATACTCTAAGGCTAGGCTCCTGAACCTGAAACCCATATGCTAGAGTCCATCAAAATCAAAGGAATTGAAATCCTATCCTCATTATGCAAAAATGAAGATCTATACCATTTGAGTTAGCTTTCCCATTGCAGAGATGGATTTGTGCTGTGTCAGCTATAAATACTTTCAATCTCTCCTCTCTGGGACCAAAAACAGCTATCTGCATAATGACTCTTCAGGTGAAGTATAATCTGTGGCTATTGGTTAAGGGACAGGGTGGGAGGGGTAAGGGGATGAGGAGGGAGGAAAAACATCCATCAAGTGTAATACCTTCATTTTACAAAATACAGAAACTAAAGTCAAAGAAAGGAAGAGATTTGTTCAAGGTCATATATTAGAAAATATCAGCACCAGAATGTGAACACATGCCCTCTGAATCTAAAGTTATACCTTTCCACTATACCACATTGCCTCTCCATGTATTGTTAGTGTTCCATAAATGCTGAATATTAAATGAAGGGAGGGGAAAATAACTTAATTCCTCTCCATTGGTTTATCTTTTTTGTTTCTTTCTATACTACTGTAAGTCCCAACCTCAACCCACCCTCACCTCATCCCTGCCAGTAACAAACACCTTTTGAACTCACAGACTCTTCTAGTTAAAGGTGACCCTGGAAATTATCTGGTACATTCTCAACAAAATTTCAATAAGTGGTCATCCAGCTTATGCCTGTAAACCCTCCAGTAATGGAAAACTCACTACTGGAACAGGACACTTTTTTTGTTTTGGACTGTTCTGATTGTAGAACAGTCCTTTTCTTATATTAAGTAAAAAATTATCTTCCTATAAGAAAGGAAATAAAAATTTATTAAGTGCCTGCTATATGTCAGGCACTGAGCTAAGTGCTTTACAAAGATTATCTCATGAGGCAGCTAAGTGACTCAGTAGATAGAGCTCTGGCCTTGGAGTCAGGAGGACCTGGTTTAAATCCGACTTTAGACACTTGACACTTACTAGCTGTGTGACCCTGGGCAAGTAAGTTAATCCCAATTGCCTCACAAAAAAAAAAAAAGACTATCTCACAACAATGTTATTCCCATTTTACAGTTGAGGAACTGAGGCAAATACAAGTTAAGTAACTTGCCCAGGGTCACATAGCAAGTAAGTGTTTGAGGTCAGGTTTGAACACAGGTCTTCCTACCTCTAGGTCTAGGGCTCTATCCACTGCACCACCTTGTTGTCCCTATAAATTTATAACTTCCAGTCATTGCTCCTACTTATGCCCTCTGCCAAGCAGAACAGGCATAATCTGTCTTCCATTAAATAACCCTTCCAATATTTGAAGACCAGAATTATGCCCCCCTTAAGTTTTTTTTTCTCCAGGCTCAACATTTCTAGATATTTCAACTGACCCTTTTTCAGCATTGCTTCAAGAATCCAAACCATCTTAGTTGACATTCTTTGGATAAGCCATTCTTTGTCAATGTATTCAGAATTGCTTAAAAAAAAAAACAGGGTCTGATAAAGACACGATATTGTCAAAGTGTTACCACTCTCATTCTGGACACCATATCACTTAATGTGAAGTAAAATCACATGAGCTTATATATATATATATATATATATATATATATATATATGTGTGTGTGTGTGTGTGTGTGTGTGTGTATGTGTGTGTGTGTTTGTGTGTGTGTGTGTGTGTGTGTGTACTTGTGTATGTTAGTCCTATCATAAAACTGTGAGCTTACAGGTCTTTTTTTCACATGAACTACAATTTAGCCATATAACTACGACCCCATCATTTACTTCTGCAGCAGCTGATTTTTTTAATCTAAGTGCAAGAATTTACATTTATTTCTACTAAAGCTCTTCCAGTTGGATTCAATTCATCATTCTAGCATCTCAGAATTTTTTCTGTATTCTGATTCTGTCATCTACAATATTAGCACCCACTCTCAACTTTGCTGAGAGATTTCTGAAAATAGGATAAATTTCAATTTACAATGTAAGATGAAATTTTATAATGTGAAAAGTTTGAGATGGTAAATAGTTTTAGATTCTTTACATGAAAGCTCCTGTCTTAGGTTTTATCATTCCACTTCCTAATAACACCATGGGTATAGATACACACAATCATCGGCAGAAAATAAAATGTGTTTCTTTGAAAACACAGATTGTATTCTTATAACAGCATTTTCATATTGTCGAGTAAGTTACAGATGATTGGTGTTGCTGTTTTTCAGTCATGTCTGACTTTCATCACCCCTTTTGGGGTTTTCTTGGCAAAGATACTAGAGTTGGTTGCCATTTCTTTCTCCAGCTCATTTTATAGATGAGAAAACTAGGACAAACAGGTTTAAGTGACTTGCCCAGGGTCACACAGCTAGTGCCTGAGACCAGATTTGTACTCAGGTTTTCTTGACTCCAGGCCTGGCTTTCTATCCACCTTACCACTTAGCTGCTTGTTCCATATATTTTTGTCCCCATCCCCACAGTATATAACATTATGCTGTAACTTCACCAGCCCACCCAGTGTTTCTAACATCTTCTACTGTGTGGGGCAGGGATTACAAAGTAGAAAGATAATGAAGAAACATGTTACCAATAGGAATTATTAGCATTAATATTCTGCTGAGGGTGAGACAAGTTTGGTGAATAATTGGCCACTCTGACATCCTTGTTTCTGAGTTGTGACTGACAATTCCACAATCAATTTTATATTGTTTACATGTAGATCAACCAGCCTGTAGATTTTCCAAGCTTCTTATTTTCTCATTTACCTTCCACTTTTCCATTAACATATTTCCCAGAGGGCAGATAGAGGAAGAAGGTGTAATGAAAAGTAAACTTATTATTTCCAGACTTATAGTCACATAGTTGGGATACATCAGGGAACTACTTAGAAAAAAAAAAAAAAGAAAAACCATCTCTACCTGTCAATTATGTTCCTCTTTTGCAATAAATTAAGGTTTCTGTAATCATAAGATCATAGATTTAGAACTAGAAAAGCCACCTTGTCCAAACCCCTCATTGCGCAGAAGAGGAAAATTAAGCCTAAGGATGAGCTCCTGAAGTGAGGAGTGTTTATCTGAGTCCAGAGGAACCAAATTACTCCAAGTTCTAATCTTAATATACAAATATGTGGCTGCCTGCCTACCCTCAGTGAGAGGCAGTAAGGGAGGGAAAATGAGAAATGAGGCCCACTGTCTCCAAAGCCAGTACTCTTTCCACTGTACTACATTGCCCTTCATCATCACTATAACCATCAGCGCTGGCACCATTGTCAACATTTTATTTAGCACTTTAATGTTTTCAAAGGGCTTTATTAGTTCTGCACAACAACCCTATAAAGTAGATATAAGAGGTATGATAATCCCTATAACACAGACTAGAAAACAGAGTCTCAAAGAGTCTTCCAGAGTTTGGGTAAAGTTACTGCCTCTACTTTGATTTACAGGATATGTAAATTATCTACTAAAACTTCACTGTTTTGAATGTCATTCATTTAGAATTTATGATAACTTACAAGAGTTAGCCTGTAGTTGACCTTTGGAATATCTTTTTTTAAAAGATTTGATAAGCAAATTAATTGTGTAAATAAGATTGCTAATGTTTGACCTATTTAAGAAACCAGAAATGTCTTGCAATTTAGAAACATCATTTGCACATAAACAGCGAATGTATTTATTTCGAGTGTTCCTTAACTTTTAGCCTAGGTTAAAGATATATTTAAAAATAATAAAAATGATTTCCTCTTTTTAAAGAGCTATACTACCGATATGCTCATTGATTCACTAATTAGTCCAAATTAGTGAGGTGTTATTCATAAATATATACTAGTAGCATGGAGGGAACTGTTCATAAATTACAATCATAATTACATCTTAGTAAAAGAAGCAGCCTGGCACAGTCAATAAAGAGCTGCTTTTGGCTCTGGAACAAACTGAGTTCAAATCCTGCCTCGGACATATACTGGCTGTGTGATTTTGGGTAAATCACTTAACCTCTCAGTAACTTAGGCAACTTCTTAGTCTACATTTTTGTACTTGGTTGATAGAATTTGTTTTGCTTGACATACACATTTGTTTAAAAGGATTTTCTTTTTCTTCTACAGTTGAGAGAACAGAAAAAGAAGAGAATATAAGTCCTTATTAACTGAAAATTTAAAAAAAGAAATAGTTCTCTGTAACTACACATATATACGTACATATGTGTACGTATATATATATATATATGTATATGTATGCATGTATGTATGTATGTATGTATGTGAAAAAGTAAGTTGCAAAACAGTTACCTGTATTGGAAGAAGGAGTTTCTTCACTAAGGATTTCCCCATATTAAATGAGTCACAGGTCCAGTTGCCATACCATATGATTTGCTAGCAAATGTTAAAACCTATTAATTATCTGTGTTTGGGGATTGTCTACTTTCCATTACTCTCAATAACAGCTAATATTTATATGGCACTTACTATGTGCCAGGCACTGTGCTAAGCACTTTATAATTATTATCTCATTTAATCCTCACAATAACACTCGTAGTTAGGTGCCAAAATATAATCAAGTAAGCAATAGGTTCATTATATGATCCATTGTCATTCAAAATGGGGAAATTACACATAGGAGAAATCACCTGTGTTTTGAAATGCCATAATTTTACTTACATTTAATCCAGCTTTCTTCCAATAATAACTGCTATACTGGCTAACCATACATTTTGTTTTCTCTTTAAACTTCTCTTCAGAGTCAGTAGACCACCAAGGATCAAGGTTTCCATTCTTATCATATTTTCTGCCTAATAAAAAAAAAGGTAGAGAATTTTGTTGTTACATAACAAAGCTAATTTCTTCCCTGTTCTCTGTGACCCATCCCTAGCTTACCCTAAGCCCCTTTCCTGATTTATGTAAAGCTGTGATTTAGTTGCCCAGAACAACTGAGCTTGTATAACCTTGGCAAACATATCCCAGAGTGGGAATAGCCAGAGACAGGGACAAAGCAAGGTCAGGAGTACAGTGGCCCAGGGCCCACCCTTCGCTTGCAAAATGTGTGCCTAGGGAAAGAAATGTCGAACAAACAACTCCAGTAGCCAAGTTCTTGAAGGCAGCCAGTGTATTTCTCTCCAATGTTGGATTTAAGTTTGGGAAAAAATGTAACAGATTATAGAGGAAGTTGAATTTTTTTAATGTTTTTTCCTCTCTTCAAATGAATATAGAATATACCTTTAAAATAATATAAATTAAGAAAATATAGTAGAAACCAAGAAGAATAATAGGGAAACTACAGATTTGAAAGGCAGGGGACCTATCCTCATGTCTTAGTTCTACTGTGTAATAACTATGTGACATCTGATCTCCCTATATCAGTTTCCTCAACTTCATCATTTTCTCAAAGCAGTAGCAATACTTATAGTGTTCTACCTCAAGGAATTCTTGTGAGGATCAACCTTTGTGTGATAGAAGGAAAGAAAGAAGGAAGGAAGAGAGGGAGGGAGGGAGGGAGAAAGAGGGAGGGAGGTAAGAAGGAAGGAATTATTAAGTACCTTGTATGTGCCAGGCATAAGTACATCGTAATTATTATCTCATTTGATCCTCACAACTCTGAAGGTGAGTGCTGTTGGAATCTCCATTTAACAGATAAAGAAACTGAAGGAAATAGAGGTTAGGTGAACCAGGTCACACAGCTCATGCGTGGCTAGGGTCAAATTTGAACACAGGTCTTCCTGATTCCAGGCTCATCACTCTATCCACTGTAAAGAACATTGGCTCTGGAGTCTGAGGCCCTACAGTCTACTCATACCTCTGGTCTTACTGCCTTTACGACCTTAGTCAATGTACTTCCCTCTCTGGGTCTCAGTTTCATTACTTCATATTTGATGACCTCAAAGGTCCCTTCCAACTCTCAATCACTTTCCAAGCCCTATAAAAATGTCCGTTATTATTCTTTTTGTTTAGCTTTGCAAGCAGTCTAGCTAGTTCTTGATATTTTGCTTTTACCTGATGTGACTTGTTCAGGACAGAGAACCAATATCATTAAACCAGTGAAATCTCCACAGGATCCAAAAGAATAATAGCCCAGTGAGTCAGCCATTCTGCTGTACTAGAGACCCTGGTTCAGTCTGACGATAATATGTTTCTTCTAGTCTCTAGGAACTTGGATGCACTTTGATCCTCCATTATGCACCCCTTCCCAGTAACCAGTGTGGATTACATCTGTCCTATTTAGATAAGGGAGGTCACTGTAAGACACATCTAGAGCCAAAATCTATAAAATTAAATGGAAGAAAAATGTATGTCCTATATTTGTTCATTCCACTTATGAACTCTTCATCCTTTCCCACTTGGAAAAAAAAAAGTCTTAATGTATCTGAAGTAGATTCAAGTTTCCTATTGAAAACAAATGGATATTTAATGGTTTAGATTTAATCTAATGACATAAAGAACAAACATGCCCTCTAAATATTGGTATTAACTTGACTCATTTGAAGTGTTTGAGGTAAAACTAGATAACCACAAATAAGGCATCCACAACAACCATCTTGCCCTCAAGTTTCTTCCTTCTTGGATTGAATTGAAGACACTATCCTTCTTATACCCACAAGGGAAATTGAATGATTCAATCAATCAACAAATACTTACTGAGTGTTTACCATGCAGAAGGCACTGTGAAGTGGCATTCCCACTATTACAGTCACTGTAGTATGGTATAGTGAAAAGTGTACTAAAAGTCATGTAATCAACAAGATAGAGTACTAGGCATCTCCTCCAATCTTCATGATCTCTTAAACCTCTCCAAAATAGGAATTATGTACAAGAGATAAAGCAATGTTAGTCATCTCCACAGTTTAGGATGCCAAGAACCCAAAGAAGGTAAAAACTCAAGAAAAAAGCTAATCTCTAACTACTAATGTGCTAACTTAGTACCCCCTCTCCCACTAGCGGCAGGGATGCATAACTATCTACTTGCAGCAGAACTAAACTCTATTCCCTGACCTCCCCCTCCCTTTCTCCAAATGCTTTGGCAATATAAAGAGTAGAAATTTGCTCAGGGCATGACAGCAGCACAACAGTGCTGAATGCCACATCAGAACTCTGCCAGAGGAAGTAGGAATAGAAAAAACGGGACAAGATATGTCTGTGTGTGGCTGTGTGGCACTCCACTGAGGGAAAGTGTCCAGCACCCAGCAGGGGCAAGTTCTATCTTCCCACCCCCCAAAAGCTACCTAGCGCAGAAACCTAGATGGGTGAACTGTTAATTGACCAATATAGTGAGAGGCTGAGACTCTTTGTGATCCAGGCCCTAGGGAAACCACTGTCAAAGGAAAGGGATTCAGAAAGTGAGTAGTAGTTAAAAATAAAGGGAAAAGAATGAAATTACCAAACATCTTAGGAAGAAGAAACCTCAGTTAAAAACCTTAAACATAAATAGATAAACCTGTAGGGCAATTAGCAATAGCAAAGGGAAATATGACCTCCAGATCAGGTAAAAGAGTTCAGGAATCTATAGATAAATTTTGCAAAAGAAAGGAAAACAAAACAGCACTCAATGAGGCAGAAGATCCTGTGGCTTCCCAAGAGAACACAGAACCGAAAAGGGACATTCCTGAATGATCTCAAAGAGATATAAGAATTATTAAAGTAAAATTTATGGCCAGCACAGAAAATATAATTAGCAAAACAGAAAGCTTGAGTCCATGGTGGCCGGTCTCACTAAGAAGCGAAGAGAAGATAACTGATTAGGAAAACAAATACACAGACATGAAGGACGATCTGGAAGAGAAGCAGAAAACATTAAGTAACATTAATAAGAAAGCATGCTCTCCATACACGCAAAATATATTGATTTTGAAGACAGGATGTGAAGAGAATTCAATGATTACAGGGCTCCCAGAAGAATACAAGTTGAAAAGTGCACTAGACTAAGAGTCCAGGACCTCTGAGTTCTGATTCTAAATCTTCCACTAACCTGAGCCCTAATTTTGGGCATGTGACCTTGTGTCTCTGAGCTTCAATTTCCATATATATGAAATGAGACATTTGAACCAAAATGGTCTTGAAAATCCTTTACAGTAGGCCAGAGCTTAATAATGTTTTCATGGGGAAAAAAGCTATTTTTTAAATTAAAAATAGCCATGATATATTATATATATAGTTTTATTCATTTTTTTCATTTTACTTAATCTAGATGAGCTATTACATAACAGAAAGAACAAATAATGATTATTGCCTTTAGAAGTTACGTGTGACAGCAGAGGAAAAGTTGAAAGGGGATTGTTATCAACCCCCTTGGTTAAGTCAACAAATTGGGTCAATAAATAACCAATGTCTTATGTGGGTGATCTTTGGGGAACTGTGTACTTGGGTCACTGCCAAAAAAGGAACATGAGAAATCAAGATCTGAGATATTTACCTCTAAGACTAACAATCCTTTGTTCATGCCACCTAACTCATTTGTGCATTCCTGAGATGAAATGATACATACTCTGGACATCATTAGTCCTCTTTGAAAATGATGGATGAACAGCAACAGATAAGCAACATTGTGTGGTAGGAAGATCACTAGATCTCCATCCATAAGACATGCTTGGGCTCAAATCGCAATTCTGCTATTCATTATATATAAATTCTGCAAGTCATTTCACTGTCTATTGAACATTTCAAACTAAGTATTATGTAACTATTTCAAACTCAATAGTATGGTGTAGTGGCTAAAGCGCTAAAATTAGAGTCAAAAAGACTTGAATTCAAATATGACCACTAGTCATGTGATCTCTCTGGACCTCAGTTTCTTCCTATACAAAATGAAATGGTTGGGACTTGATGACCTTTAATATCCTTTGTAGTTCTAAAGCATTCATTCATTCCATGATCTCATACTTGATCATGTGCAAAACAGATCTCATTACCTTTCTCTCCAAAACCAAGAGTCTTCCAAATGCTACTATTTCTGTTGAGGATACCACCATTTTTCTGGTCTCTCATGTTCAAAACCTCAATGTCAGCCTTGACTCTTGATTCTCCCTCACCTCATACTTCCAACTGATTATGAAGTCTTCTCATTTATACCTTCATAACATCTCTCCTATCTGTTATTTGTATACACAGCCGCAATGTCTTCATCACCTCTCCCCTAAACTATGACAGTGGCCTCCTAATTGACTCTCTCCACTTCAATCCATCCTTCACATTGTACATCACCCCCTCACTCAGTCAACTCCAGTAGTTCACCAAGCTTTCAATGGAAAACTCTTCTGTTTAGCTTTTAAAAATTCTTCACATAGAAAACTATTACACTACAAGAAATGATGGTAGGGTTGGTTTCAGAAAAACCTAGGAAGGCTTATATGAACTGACGCAACATGAAACAAGCAGAATCAGAACATTGTACATAGTAACAGTAATATTGTAACAATGAACAGCTGTGGAAAGACTTAACTACTCTAATTAATACAATGACCTGAGACAATTCCAAAGGACTTATGATGGAAAATGCTACCCATCTCCAGAGACAGAACTGATGAACTCTGAGTACAGATTGAAACATACTTTTTCACTTACTTTATTTTCTTGCTTTTTTTGCAACATGATTAACATAAATATGTTCTGTATGACTTCACAGATCTAATTGATATCATATTGCTTGCCTTCTCAATGGATGGGAAAAAAGGTAGAAGGAAGGGGATAATTTGGGATTCAATTTTTTAAAATAACTGAATGTTGAAATAAAGCGTAATTATTAAAATTTAAAAAAGAAACTCTTTACAACCCTGTCTCCAATCTACCTTTCTAGTTTCATATATTACTCCTCTTCCTGAAAAACTGACTCTACTCTTCCTCACATACAGCACTCTATCTTCCATGTCTACTTCTATATAAAAGGTTTCTTGATTCCTCTAACTTCAATGAATGTTTATTAAGCACCTACTATGTGTTAGGCACTGGGCTAAGCATCACTGTGTTAATCTATCATGTATATATTTTTTAAATTTTTTATGTAGTGATGCACATGAATTTTTCATCCAATAGAAGATAGGCTTCTTGAAAGCAGGATTTTTTTTTTTTGCATCCTCAACACAATGTCTGGTAGAGTGGACAGAGTACACTCTGTTTTCCCACAGGTCCCCCTTACTCCCCTTCATTCAACTGAAATTTATCTCTCCAAACTCACTAATGATCTCTTAGATGCTAAACCTACTAACTTTTTCTAAATCCTCATTTTTCTTGACCTCTCTTTCTGCCTCAAGTCTCTCCCAACTCCAGTCTCTCCTCCACTCTGCTGTCAAAATGATTTTTCCCAAAGTGAAGATCTATCATGTAGCCTCACTATTCAATAAACTTCAGTGGCTCCCTGTGACTTTCAGGATCAAAATCTTGCTTAGCATTTAAAACATTTCATAAACTGGAACCTTTCCAGTCTTCTTATACCTTACCTCTCCCCAATACACTCTGTTATTCAGGGATACTGCACTTCTTACTGCTCCTCACATGACACTCCATATCCTGACATATTCACTGGCTGTGCCCCATGACTGGAACACTCCCTCTTCATCTCTACCTCCTCACTTCCCTGTCTCAGACAAAGTCTCACTTTCTATAAGAAGCCTTTCTTAGTCATATTTAATCTTCATGACTTTGTTGAGACTACCTCAATTTATACTGTATACATCTCATTTATACATAATTGTTTGCATGCTGTCTCCCCTATTAAACTGTAAGTTCCTTGAGAGTAAGGACTGTCTTTTGCTTTTCTTTGTACCCTCAGTACTTGGCATAGTGCCTGACACACATCATTTGCTTAATAAATGCTAGTTGAATGACTAAGCTAGTTGAATTGGAGTGCTTAGAGCTTGGTCAAGCATTAAAGATGCAACAGTCATCCACTGCATCCCAGGCCCTCAGCAGTCGACTTTCATCCTGCCATTGGACTTTCATGACTTAGGAAGAGAGAACGAGGCTGAGGACTTTGCACAACTCTGCCACACTTTAACCCAATTCATGCACAAGTCAAGATGTCACCCATAATGTCATTGGTCCTCTTTGAAAACAAACAGTAACAATCAAATGAGATAATACATGTAAAGTATTTTGCAAAAAGTGCTCTAAAATACTAGATGTATAAAGCAGGGCTATATATTATTGCTATTATCCTATAAACTACATGTAGTCATAGGTAACTTTGTAGTTACAAATATCAGAAAAACATAGATCTGTCTATGTAAATCAATATACAAATAATTGTGTTTAATATGTGCTAAGCACTGAGAGTTTAAATAGATAAGTGAGGTAGCCCCTACTCTCAAGGAGCTCATTTTCTGACATGGGACACAACACACATGGAAGATCTCAGCCACAAGTCAGATGGAAAGGTCCCATGGTCCTCAGGCGGGAGAGGTAAAAGCAGATGGTAATATCTCTTTTTTAATGTCATTTCCACTGGTTAAATCTTATCACTTTCTGTTATTGAACCATTTGACAATGTCAAGAACTTTGGTGTCAAGAACTTTCTTTTCTGGGTGTGCAAAAGATGTGGGTGTAACGCCTGCAGGAATGGTTGCCAGGCTGCATCTCCATGGAGATTGCATCTGAAGGATGGTGGCTACCAGCACCAGGCTGGAAGCATTACTATTCCCAGGGGTCTCGGGTTCAGAGTGCTAGGTTATCTCCATCAGAGTCTGAGGGGATAGGATGGTTAAGATCAGAGTTCATAGCACATGCTGCCCCTTTTCTCCCCCTCAGAGAGCTAGTCTGCTAGTCTAGTTCCTCTTTCAGCTAGTCTGCTCTGCCTGCTCTTTATGTGGCAGTTGGTTGACATTTGGTGGGGATAGATGGACCCTTATCCACAGTAGCTCCTTTTTCCCATAATAGCAGCAAGGACTGGGCTGGGTACAGGATTGGTGGTCTACAGTGTGCCTCTCAGGGCTCCTGCCTGCTGGTGTCACTTTGATCAGCAGTTGTTGCTGGTGGTGGTAAGGAAGATGAACCCATTCTCCACCAGGATTTCTCCCCTCCACGATGTTGATGGGACTGGGCTGATAGCCGATATGGGTTGGTGGTTTGGGGGACACTGCTATTCCCAAAGCTTTTGGGTTCAGGATGCTGGGATGACTCCACTGGCATCTGAGGGGACATGGTAGTCAAGGTGGTGGTAGGTTCACCTGACATGATGGTACATGATACCTCACAGTGTAATGGAGTACAGAGAGTATTAGATCTGGAGTCAAAAGACATTGGTTCAGATTCCAAACCTGCATAAGTTCAGACATCTCCATTCATTTCTCTGGCCCTTAATTTCTTCACGTATAAAGTGAAGAAGTTGGACTAGATTACCTCCAATGTCCCTTCGAACTCTGAATATATTATCTTTTATGTACAGGTTTATATTTACACTTCTTATACAATAAACTAAAGACAAACTGAGACCTGGCAAAGACCTTATTTTAGAAAGATCTAGATCATACAGTGCATCCTGGGCCATAGCCAGTCATTCTGATTTCCCTCCTGCCACTGGACTAATGACTCTGAAAGACAGAGTGAGACTGAAGACTTTGTGCAGTTCTGCCTCACTTCAATCCAGTGCAGGTGAAAATCAAGACATCATCCTTGTGACATCATTGGTCCTCTTAGAGAAATAAGGACAAACAACAACAGTAATTCACAACTTGAAAAACATGTGGCGCAGTGGACATAGCACTAGGCCCGGAATCAGGAAGATCTGAGTTCCAATTCACCTCCAACACTTAGTTAGATGTATGTCACTGAAAATCACTTTAATTGCTGTCTGTCTGTTTCCTCAACTGCCAAATGGGGATCATAATAGCACCTGCCTTGCAGGATTATTGTAAGGACTGAATGAGATAATATCTATAAAGCATTTGGCATAATCCACACAGTTGTTTCCTTCCCTTTTCCCCTTACCTTCCAGAAATTTCACACCCACTCAGTTTCTAGAGCCAATCATTAGTAGAACTATAATATTCATAGTTTTATTATGAACACTCATTATATTTCATTACATTTTTTGGATGGGAGCCTGCACCTGTGATCACATGGATGTAGGCAGCTGCAACTATTCTGCAACTTAGCCTTAGACAATGATTCAGGAGCACTGACAAGTGAGATGACCTAGACAGGGTCAAACAACCAGGATTTGCTCAAGGCCAGATTTGATCACATCTCTAATATTTACTACCTATGTGACTCTGAACAAGTCACTGAATCTCCCTGGGCCTCAGTTTCCTCATCTGTAAAATGAGAGAGTTGGATGGTCTCAAAGGTTTCTTCAAGCTCTACAATCCTATAAAACAAGGTCTTTCTGACAGTTCTCTATCTGCTACAGCTGTGGGTCAATTTAGTGTTTTAAGTGGTCCAAACTGATGCTAAAAACTATTTTATAGTGCCTTAATAATAATTATGGAGTAATAGAGAGTATTAAAACAATATATTGAATTACCCTTGGGGATTCACAACACATTTTTATTGCTGTTGTTGAAAGAACCATTGTAGTATGCTATGTTACCTCCCTACTTAGTTCCACATTGTGAAAAAGAAAACTTTGGAATATTTTGACCCTTTTTGGAAGGAAGAAAGGAAGGAAAGAAGGAAGGAAGGAAAGAAGAAAACAAGCATTTATTAAGCACTTACCATGTGCTGGAAAACATGCCAATTTGAGCCTCACAACAACCCCACAAGTATGTGTTATTATTATTCCCATTTTACAGCTGAAGAAACTGAGGTAGACAAAGGTTAAGTGACTTGCCCACAGTCACACAACTAATAAGCATATGAGATTGGATTTGAACTCAGGTCTTCCTAACTCCAGCCCTAGCACTGTATCCACTGTACTATCTAGCTCCTTGGGCTATAGGAATGGCATAGAACTCACAGTATTCCATTTCTAGTTAAGATTAGTTTTCCCCAATAGAGGAAGGGATTGGAAGGCTAGCAGTGCAATTAGGAATGGTTTTTTTTCCCCCAAAAGGCAAGGTAGATAATGTTTATGTATTTAAAAGGATGGTGATGATTTGTGAGTCATCATCCCTTTGTTGTCATGCCACATGCTGCCAATTCCTAATGTCTAACCTAGTAAAGAATTATGAGTTATATTCCACATTACACGTTATTATGATAACATGGTCCTTTGCATTTATTTTAATTCAATTTCCATGCCAAGAAAGCAAATAATATAAAACAAAGAACCTTGCCAACAGTGGGAGCAAGTCCCAAAGAGAACTCTACCTCCTGCATGTACGTCTAAAAATCAACATCATACGCTTACATGAGACCTTCAGACTGTCCACAAATAGCTGACCCAAACTGAATTTAGAAGTAATTCCTATAACTTCTGTTTCAGAGAGGTCCATTCCCCTCTGATTATCAAGGAGTCCTCTGAATCTGACCATTGATCACAAAGGGCAACGATTAGCACCCATGCCTTCAACACTGCTCTAAAGAAAAGAAAACTTTAGGAAACAAAACATTACTTGCCATTATTATCAAATCCATGGGTAAACTCATGGCCAACAATGACTCCTATAGCACCATAACTCAGAGACCTGTAACATAGAAATGTAAAGAAGAGAAAGTTAGAAGGGTGAATCTCAGATACATAGTCTTCTAAATATCAAATCTACTTCCAAATCAACTACAGTGAAGATAATCTAAAATAACCCACGCCTACAAAATAGGAAAAAAACCTGACACTAGTCATGTTTTTTTTAAATTGAAACAGAAAGAAAAATCCAAATTGTAAGACAATCTTTATGCCCATGTGTATGACACTATATGTCCATACATACATATATACATGCACAAACACATAAATATACATACACACATGCATATATGTGTACATACACACACAGTTCAATCTAAATACCTAAGCCATTAGCAGGATTGAAAAGGTCCTGCCACTTACCTTGCCATTTATTTTCTAGCTGAGAACTCATTGGAAAGACACTGTAGTATTAAAAATAAAATTGTTCTCCTAATGTAGTCACACAAAAAAGCGAGGATCAAAGATTAAAAGGGATCTCTATGTTGTCAGCTCTAATCATTCTCCTCTAGCTTATGTGACAGACAGGCCTGAAAATGCATGACACAGATTGTGAAGCATTAAACAGATTTCCATTAAGTTTTCAAAAGGAGGTGTTAACACTATTTCCTTCATCTTTGCAGAAACCAAAAAAAAAATTATCTACAATGACATCTAATGCACTACAAAGCCATAAATGGAGATTTAATCATTCTCCAAGTGGCAGATTATATCTGCTTCTTGACTGTTTTATTTGGTTGTCCAGCCTTCTGAAGAGGACAATAAGAAGTTTGCTCTTAAAACTAATTCATGAGATGTGTTCCTTAGACCAAGGGCTAAAGTTGCCTAGGATGCCAGAGCATTTTGCTGTACATTTGCCATGTACTGCCAGCACACCACCACAGACGTCAAAGGAACTTTAGATACAGACAATACCCAGTGTCCCAAAAGAGCAGGCAGCTAAAGTTTTTGAAGTAACATGTTATTACAGGACATAATGATCCTTAACATACTAATTGTTTGTTTCAACTGTACCCACAGAAGTGAGCTCAGATTTAATTTTTTCCCTTGGTAGCCATTCTTTCCTTTGTGATTTCCTTCCTGCGAGGTAATTTGCATTTGACAAAATGTTTCCTACTGTTTTTCCATCATTGCAAACCTTCATTAAAGGAACAACAGTAAAATTATGCGTTTCAATCATGGAGCTATCATGTAATTTTACATAGTGCAGGGTTTTATCAGCAGCAGTAGGTATCTCTTCCAAGGGCCTGGTATAGAGCTTTTCCTGGCCTCTGCACCAAAGACAGTCTTTCCTTCATTGGGTCCTGACTCTACATGAATGACAGACTAGCTGAACTGAAAGGGCAGAGAAAGTGTCCCTGAAATAATTGTTCTGGAAGGTTTGGGGGGGGGGGGTGGAGCAGATGGTGCTCTAACAGGTCTCCTTCTGGAGCAACTAGTAGGAAAGAATACAAGGACAGTAGTGTTATAGAACTAGAGTCTTCAGGGGCTATTTAGTGAAATCTCATTTTACAGATGAAAAAACTGAGGCACAGTTAGATTAAGGAGATTCTTGAATCTGTGTGTAACTCCTCTATTTCAGAAAAGCTTAAGGACAACAGATATAGGCAGATATAAAAAGATATAATTAAATAGATAGCTATAATAGATATAATTAAATGAAATATAAGAATAAAGATATTCCATTAGGTTAAATGAATATTCTTCTTTCTGAACAAAGTCAGAAAATATTTGAAATCAATAGATCTTATAAAAACAGCTTGTTTCTAAAACCTAAATACACTCACAAACCTCCTCAACAGTGACTTGCTGGCTGGGGGACGGATCATTCATTTCCAGCAGAGAAAATCTAGCTCATTAAATGTACCACTGGCAGCTTTTAAAAACCAGTTTGAACAGTGTGTTCAGTGTTTTACTGATTCCAAGGCTGGTCCTGGGACTGAAAATAACATATCTTTATAATGTTTTTCTTCCAAATGGTGCTGGCTCCATGTTAAAAAATACAAAAAGATCTGTAGCTCTTCATTGATATTTAGAATGTCCAGGATGCCTTTGTTTAAATGCAAATACTTTTGGAGGAGTTGTCATTAATACCTCATCAGGGATTAGTTTATCAGATTGCTTTCCAGTTTAAGAGACAGCTGAGTTGGAATGGGACAAAAGACAAGGTGAATATGTTTTTGGTTTTGTTTTGTTTTGTTTGGGGGAGGGGGGGAGGGAGGTTGAGGAAGGAGAGAAGTAAGGAAGGAAAGATTAAGATCATGGACTGGGGCCTGGGCAGAAGACTACAATGGGGAGGAAAAGAGAAGGGACGCTAGAAGCACAGGCAGCTAGGTGACTCAGCAGATACAGCCCTGGGCCTGGAGTCAGGAAGACTTGAGTTCAAATCTTGCCTCAGATACTTACTAGCTGTGTGACCCTGGGCAAGTCACCTAACCCTGTTTGCCTCAGTTCCCTCATCTGTAAAATGAGCTGCAGAAGGAAATGACAAATACTCCTGTATCTTTACCAAGAAAACCCCAAATGGGATCACAAAGAGTTGGACATTACTGAAATGACTTAATAAAAACAAAATAGGAGCCCACCTAATGACTAGAAGATGAATCCCTAAAGTGTCAAGAAAACCAGTAAAAAACTAGAGGTAGGAAGGTACCAAACAAAATCTTCAAGTCCATCTCATCATTGTGTCTGAAGTTGGCCCCAAGTCTTCAAATACATTTGACAAACACTAGCTGTGTGACCCTGGGAAAGTCCTTTAACTTTGCTGGGCCTCAGTTTCCTCATCTGTTAAAAAAGTGAGTTGGACTTGATGTCTGCCAAGATCCCTTCCATCTTTAAAGCTATGATCTCATGATAGAATCAAGCAGTGGTATCAGACAAATTGAAATGGAGGCCACTAAACAGTACATGAGAATCTCTGTGTGCTATATATAGGCTTAGAAAATGACATGTTAACATTATCTATGTCCTACTGGATTGTTTTTTATTTTGTTAAATTATTTATTATATATTAATAATTAACATATATAGTTTATGATATAAGCATATATACTATAACATGCTAGATTAATAATATTAATAATATTGTATATTAATTATTTTATTAAATATGTGTTAATTATATTTTAATCAGGCTGTTGCAAGCCACAATCAGTTGTTGTCCTCATGTTTGCAAAGCAACCTGGGATTCTGGAGGATCCATTAACAAAGAAAACTCACATCTTCTATGATTTCAAAAGCAAAGTGGTACCGTCAAAGCTGCAGTCTTACTCCCCTGATCATTTTACCTGGCATGTGGATGCCCTCAGGTCTCATAGACTTCTGTACTTCAGAAAGGACAGGAAGCATAGACAGGACAGGTTGGGACCAGACACTTAGCTAGTGCTAGGCTTAGGAGAATCAGGGCTAAGAATAGGGTCAAGGGCACTGAACCAAAAGTCAGAAGTTCCCTTTAAGTCCCAACTAAAATCCTACCTCATACCCGAAGAAAGCCTTCCCCAACCCCTCTTAATTCCAATGCCTTCCCTCTGCTCATTCTTTCCTGTTTATCTTGTATATAGCTTGCTTTGTACATATTTGTTTGCATGCTGTCTTCCCCATTATATTGTAAGCTTTCTTTTGCCTTTTTTTGTATCCCTAGTGCTTAGCAGGTGCCTAGCATAGAGTAGGTGCTTAATAATTGTTATTAAATAAATAAATAAAAGGAAAGAAGCCTAAGTTTAACCCTCCCTTTTGATACTGGCCTTGGGCAATTCATTTACCTTCTCTGAGGCTTGGTAACCTGCTCTTTAAGGGGCTGATAATAATATTTGTGCTACCTCCCTCACAGTGGAGGTAGCACTGTAAAAAAAAATTAAAAAAGCTATTTGGAAATCATAAATCAAATCATATTGAAAATAGGATGCCAAACTATATGCCAACTACATGCAATATCTACACACACACACACACACACACACACACACACACACACTTTTTTTTTTATACTAGATCTGTGATTTCATCAGCATAGGGAGCTCCCAGGTATGGATTCCCTCTGCCAATGCTGATAGACAATTTCTCTGAAATGTATAGTTTTAGAAAGTTGCCTGATATACCAAGAGATTAGGTGACTTCTCAAAATCACACAGCCAGTAAGTACCAAAGGCAGGAACTGGTTCTTCCAGGCTTCAAATCCAGCTCTCTACCCACTATTCCACACTACCTCTCTATTTAAAATATTATAGCCAAATCTCACCAACAGTATTCACATCTTTGCTTTTTCCCATTCCTCATTTATTTAGATCTAAGAAATAAACTCTAGTGACCAGCATCAGATATAAATGCCCCTTTTGGCCAGATACGAAGGCTTCTATTCATCCTAGGTGCTATGAGGAGGAATGAATATAATGCTGGACTTGGACCTAGGAAGACCTAGATTCAACACTTGCCTCTGATATTAGATATATGACCTTGGACAAGTTACTTAACTGCTCAGCCTCAATTTTCTTATCTGTAAAACTGTGATAATAACATTCAGCATAGAACTGGAATGAGAATGCAATCAAATCATTTATATTAAGTGTTTTATAAATTTCAAATCTATGTAAACATCGGTTATTATTATTATTATTATTATTTTAGTAAATAATACATTCACAGAATTCAAAATACATTCACATTGTTCTTTTATCTTACCCTTCCTTTCTTGATCAATTTATTATTCCATCCTTTAAAAAAAAAAAGAAATTTAATTTTTTTAATTTACTCACCGTGGATATGCTGTTCCCCAGAAGAAAGGCTTTTGGAGTTCCCCTGCCGGAAACCCTAGAAGAAGAAAAATGAAGTAAATTTAAACATTTGTGCTTCTTTCTACATGAGTTTAGGGCTACTGGGCATTCCTTGTATTTGGAGAAGTCTCTTAACTTCCAACTTCCAACTATAATTCTGCTACTTCATTTGAAATAACCCTATCAAAGCACCATCAAGATACCTTCCTTGCTTGGAAGTTTAAAATGGCAACATTCCAACCTGCTGGGACCTTCTTTTCTGGATCCTCCTATTTTAGGTATTTGGTTATCTGATAGCTTTACCTTGTGGAAAAGACCATAAATACCTTTTTTGTGTTAACAACCTTCCCTTTCTATATGCACTGTGGGTTATTTTAATAATAATGTTCCAAGATTAAGTCACAAAAGAAAGCAGAAGGCATCTGCAATACCCTTTACTGATCCAGAGCAGAAACTCTGCAATCAGTGACAATGAAGGATTGGGTTGATTGGTTTTTCATTTTTTTTCAGAGGGAGAGAAATTGAACTCTATTCTCCTCTCTCTCCATTCTTCCTTTAACTTTCATTTGATATGAAAGGGATCAGAACTTAGAGGCAGCTAGGTGGGACAGTAGATAGAGCACTGGACCTGGCCAGTAGGTAGCCCTGAGTTCAAACCCAGCCTCAGACAGTTACTAGCTATGTGACCCTGGGCAAGCCACTTAACCTCTGCTTGCCTCAATTTCCTCTTCTGTAAAAATGGAGATAAAAATAGCACCTGCTTCTTAGGGTTGTTGTGAAGATTAAATAAGATATTTATAAAGCACTTTGCAAACCTTAAAAAGCTATAGAAATATTCACTATTATCATCAGCATGTGAGGAGGCATGTTACTAGTTTAGAATGGCTCCATGAGGGTGACAGCTAGGTGGTACAGTGGATAGAGCACCAACCCTGAAGTCAGGAGGACCTGAGTTCAAATCTGGCCTCAGACCAAACACTTGACACTTGCTAGCTGTGAGACCCTGGGCAAGTCACTTAACCCCAACTGCCAAAAAAAAAAAAAAGACTGGCTCCATGAGGGAGAAAACCCTTTATAACATTGCCAAGGCCTGCCTCATTTCAGAATTGCATCTTTAGGACATTATTACCACCATTGATCATAACATTGAAATGTGCTACAAATTGAGGTTACCCTGGCTTCCCCATTCTTACCAGGGAAGTTCTGGGCCTGCTCTCCTCAGAACTGTTCCTATGGATTTAATTATCCCCATGACACGGGGTCACCAAATGTTATATTTTCATGGGAACAATTAATGATGTTGGGTAGGGTCTACATTTTTATTACCAGATAGATTAATCTATCTGACATAAGGGAGGCAGGTCACTTAAACTCTCCAGATCACAGTTTCCACATCTGTAAAATGATTACCTCATACGGCTGTTGTGAAATCCAAATAATACATACTAAAGATAAAACACTTCATAAAACTTAAAACCTATGCCAACAATGTTTGCCACTATGATCATTCCTATCAGTCCACTTTTGTTGATAATGATGCATTACAGTATGAGTTTTCTCTGTGTAGAACCTAATTTCAAAAGGCAGATTTCTTCAGTTCAGAAGGTGCTTTCTTTTTTTATGTTCATGCTCTCTCTGTATCTCTTATACCTCTTTATTTCTCCTTGTCTCTCTCTGTCTCTGTCTTTCTTGGTCTCTATCTCTCTCATTCTCATTCTCTCTCACTCTTTTAATCATGCAGAAAATCTTTTAGTCACAAATATCTTCTATTCAACAACTCAACAAATATTTATTAAGGACCTATCATATGCAAGACACTGCCAGGGACCAGGGATAGCAAAGATGGAAACAAAACAGCCACTGCCTGCACATTCTACTGGATTTTCACAGATCGAAAATTTCTTAAAGGGGCTATATCATCCCAACTTTCATAATATTTACTGATTTCCAAATATCTCTGATTTCTGCAATTCAGTCTCTCATCTCTTGTTTAAGCAGTGTGCCTGTTTCGAGAATCTCTCCAAAATCTAAAACAGATGCAAAGTCTTTATGCTTTTATGAAGATTTCACTTGCCTGCTGTGTATCACTTGGATTTTGGCACAGGTCTTAATCAGCAGAAAGATAATAAGCCAGTCAGATTCACCCCTCAAGCAGCATAGGCCTCCCTACACATTACTGTGTGCAGAATTCTTAGCCATTTCAAATCCCAGAGCAAAGAAATGTCTAACATTTCCATGCCCTCTCTTTTCAGCCATTCATTGTTACAGGCCTCAAATCACATGCCACTGCCATGATGTTAGTCTGATCAGCTCTATCTATTCACCTTGTCAGGTCCAAAGCCGATAAGAAAAGAATAATCTGATGCCCCTCTGCTTGTTTTGCTTGAGTGCATGGATAAATGGCTTAAACCAGGTTTTTGGCAAATGTAGACTAGTTAGAATGATAATTCCAAATCCTGACAAGGTCAACTCAATATCTTATCTTTTGAAGTAGATAAGTTGTATTAAGCAGAGCTGGAAAGTAAAAAATGAAGAGAGCATTTTCCTTTTTCATAGACTTCTTCTGCACTCTCTCTATATATATCTTTGTCCTTTTTTTTCTTTGACTTCAGATTTTCCTCACCACTTGCTTCATGCTTTTTCATGCTTTAATGCCCCCTTTTTCCTTGAGGTTCACTACCACTTATTGAATTCTCTCACCAACCCCCTCTGGAATTAAATGCAAATACTGAAACACAGAGAAAGAATATTTTCCTTCTGCTTGAAAAAAAGAAGTGGAATGTGGTCAATGCTTTCTTTCTCATTTCCCCTGCAACACTGCTACACTGCGCCATGTTCTTAGATTCTATAACGAAGTCAACCAAGAAACATTGGCTAAGTACCTGCTATTTGGCAGGCACTGTGCTAGGCACTGGGGAAGCAAAGACTAAAAAAGACACAGTGCCTACCCAACAACACGTACACATATCAGTATATACGATATATTTGTTGAATCATTTTCAGTTGTGTTCAACTCTCCATGACCCCATATGGGGTTTTCTTGGCAGAGATAAAAGAGCAGTTTGCCATTTCCTTCTCCAGATCATTTTTTAGATGAAGAAACTGAGGCAAACTGAGTTAAGTGACTTGCCCAGGGTCACACAGCTAATAAGTGTCTGAGTCCAGATTTGAACTCAAGAAGATGAGTCTTCCTGCCTCCAGGCCTGGCACTCTGTCCACTATGCTAGCTAGCTGCCCTAGATAAAATAAAAGTTCAAAGTAAATACAAGTTAAGTGGTGTCAAGAAAGACCTTACTGGGAGATGATGCTTAAGGCAAATGCACAAAATCATCCTGGGTCAGCTCTCTAACAGTGCCAGTTGTGCCCAGACATCAGGAAAGATCAACAACATGGTCAGAGACACAAGAAATCTCCCTAGGAAAGCACACTGTCTCACATACCTCTCAAGAATAAGTAGCTCCCCGAAAGAATATACCAATGCATGTTGCCAATTAATCTCCAAGTAAAAGAATTTTTAAGTAAGAAGCAAAAGAAAACAAATCTTCTGTTTTTGAGCAAATCTTTTCTCTATGGACCAAGTAGGAGACTTAATGGAAAGGATTCCTGCATCAGCTGCAGGATGAATTAGGTGACCGCTAACATCCCTTCCAGATGTCATATTCCACAATGCCACACTTTCAGGGAATTAGATTTAGAATAAGTACACGAGTCCAATATTTAAAGGTTAGGCTCTAATTGCCCATATGCAAAATATATGCCAAACTTTACACTGCTATAATAAAACATTGGTGGGGGGAGGGCATTTGCTAGCTTCCTTTATGTAATATACCTTTCGTGCTTTTAAAGTAATTTATGCTTAGTCTGTCACTTCAGCCTGTGTTTCACAGAAATTGCTATCATCATCCTTTCTAAGGAGAGTGCTTTATGCCTCAACAGAAGTAATATGTTTAGTCCCTCTTACATCCCCTCCACAGGCAGCAGCGGCAGCAGGATTTTAAAATTCCTTTCTGGGGGGGGATGGCAGAAGGCATGTTCTTATGCTAGAAGGGGAAAATGGAGTTGAATTATTACCTACAATTCTATGAGAATCATTACATGACATCAAAGTATATTGATACATTAAATAGGATACTTACTCTCTGAAGTATCTCTGTTTAATAGCAAACTAGGGATGTGTTTGATTATCTAACTTTTCCTTTCAAAAGCATCTGCCATTCCTGTAGTATTGCTATTATTGCAGACTAGAGTCTGTATAAAGTACATATTTATGAAGTTCTTTGCCCATCAGAAAACATGGATTAACAAGTAGCAAGTAAGAGAAAGATTGAGATACGTAAAAGCAGAGAATTTAGAGACATCAACAGTTAATAGCCTTTCATGGAAGTTCTTAACCCAAGGTTAATGGACTTTTGAAAATATATACCTGTGATACCTGTGTAACTTTTTCAATCTTATATATTTTATTTTATATGGTTAAGATATTATTTTGAGAAGAGGTCTATAGACTTCATCACTCTGCCGAAGGGGTCTAGGACATGAAAAAGTTAAGAACTCTTGCTTTAGAGGATGGGGTTTCTCTGTAAATGGACTTTGGTTTTTCATATGAGACAAATCCATTGCTATTTTCCTCCACACATTTATTTTAATTCATTGGCCCACAGATCAGAGACCAGAGTATCATAAGTTCATGGAGGAAAGTCACTTATCGGTTTATACAGAATTGGGAAATTATAACTCCTCATTCTCTTACTCCTCCCACCCTTTCATATCAATCACTTCCACTCCAAACAACCAGATGCTTTGCTAAGGTAGACATTGTTGAGCTATAAAGGACTGAGGCATCCTGGTCTAGTGGAAAATACATTGGATTTAGAATCCAAAAATCTGAGTCCATATCTTGGCTTTGCTAGCACTGTGATTAGATTCCATCTGACTTCTCTGGGCTTCATTTTTCTTATCTGTAAAATGAAAGGCTTGGACTAAATGACCTCTAGGGTCAGTTAAAAATCTTTGTTGCTGTGTTCAGGAATAAAAGGA